ATAGATGCTTTCAGGGATTGCCCTGCTTTCAGAAATCTCGCATTGCTTTTAGCAGTTTTAATACCTGGAAACACTCAACATACTAACCATCCATGTTTTTAACCCTCCTGTCTCAACTTTCATCACTTAAATATCAATGATGTAGTGCATATTTCAACTTGCAACACTGAATTTTCTTCCATACATTCTAACCAGACAAGAAAACTGCAATTCTGTACAAGGAAAGAACACTAGGATCTTACTTCTCCATGGTCTGCAGGCCATGCTGGAAATTTTCTTGAGTTTTCGTCTCCCTAGGAGCATGCACATACACACATATACACACGCATGCACCAAGGATACACAGAACACTTCAGTGGTACCTGGATATTAGAGGTGCAGCAGTAAGGAGACCCCACGTAGAACAGCCCATAACCCCAGAATGGGCTGCAGCATTTCAGGAGCCCTATGCACACCTCTTCTTTGCCGCAACTTTACCCTCCCTCTTATGAAGGGACCTATGCAGCATTTCAGGAGCCCTATGCACACTTCTTTGCTGCAACTTTACCCTCCCTCTTACGAAGGGACCTCGGCCTACAGCCACTTACTGCAGTGCAAGTTTACATTGATGTCAGGGAGGCTATTCTGTACACTAAACACTGTGGTCACTTACAGGTAGAGCAGCAATTTAAAAATACGTTTGTGTAAGGATCAAGAGTTGAGCGCTAGTATCATTTTGACTTAAAGAAAGCCTCCTAATATAGTCCTAGAGCAGAAAACACATGCAGTGGTGTCGAAGTCAATTTTGCACAGAGACTGAATGCTTCGGTGCCCTCTGTGCACTTTTTTGAATGATCAGTATCTAACAAACACATGTTTTAGTAGTATTCCTTGAAGTATGTACCTAGTGCATTTCAGGATGATTTATATTTCATTTAAACTTACATACATAACATCAGACTTGCATTTAAGTATCAAAAATATGTTGCTAAAAGATCTTAATAGTAAATGGCATAAATTCAGAGTTTTCATCAAAGGGTAAAATACGTTTCAAGACCTTTGGTGAATGCATGATGAAAAAAAACATTTCCAAAAGCTACAATTGATTTATGACCTTAGGCTACCAACAGCTGACCAATCAACTCAGGGTTTCTGTCCTTTACTAATGCCATGATAAGACCAGCAGCAGAATTTACCGCTTCCTGCAGTAGCAAATGGTCCTGGAAAAGAAAAAAGGTGGGGAGACAATACATTAACAAAGGTGGAAAATATAAACACTTAAGATCCATTCTCAATAAGAAAAAAAAAAGCCTTATATTTGTTTTTTTAAAAAAGAAAACATTTATTTGCATCTATTAGGAGAAAAAACCCTTCCAATGCTTGATTGTTTTAAGGAAATGCTTTTAGAGTAGTATCAATATTCCATTCTCCAGAGTGATTTAAAAGGCAAACATAGGAAAATTCAAGGAAATGGAATATATTTTAACTTCTGGAATTAATATAATCTATCCAGAGAGGGCCAAAACAGAGGCTTAATTCCATTTCCTTTCTTAACTGTTTTTCAAACTCTAAAAGGTAGTCCAAATTCTGGGTAAATACTGGAAAAAAAATAATTAAGGACCTATAACTTTAGGAACCTACAAAATCCCATCTGCCTTCACCAAACTAACTTACAAACTGAATAGTATTTAAGAACTGGCACTTTGGTAGTTTAGATTGTTTCTTATATGAAATAACAAAAATATGACGTGGTTTTGATAGGCAAGTATAGAGACCAAAGCAGAACAAAACGTGACAGAAATGGGCCTTTGATTACTCGCTTCTAACTTAGCACACCATATCACATCTGAAGTTGAGGTTGGTCTGATTTCCAAGTTTTAGTAATTGTATTGCATATAAAATGTAGACTAGTGCAGCCAGTAGCATTTTAATTTGTCCACTGGGAAGAAATCAATACGTTTAGCCTGGCACAGACTAAGGAAGGAGGAAATTTCTGTGAAGCAACACAGAAAAAGGAAGGTCTACAAAACTCTAAAGAGGACCTAGCAGATCTAGAAGAGCTTCAAATACACAAGATACGCTACAACGAGAGAAACAGAACCGCTGTCCATACCCACTTTGTTCAAAATCAGAAGACTCATATTGGAAAAAAACAGAAGTAATAGGCATAAGGGAAATTAAATTGAGATATAAATTAGAAGTTAGGAAATCATTTTAACAACAGGACTGGTATGCAGTGAAACAGACCATTGGGTAGATGAATCTTCATCATTAGCATCTTCAGCTTGTTTTGCTTTTCTTTTTAAAGGATAGGTTAGACAAACACATAAAACATGACGAAGGCAGAGCACAGTCCCACCTGGGGCAGGAAGATGGGCTAGAAAATGATTGTAGATTTTTTCACCACCATTTTTCTAAGATGCTAACCCAAGGAAGTACTTGTACCTGGCACATTAAAAAATGTGGATTAATAAAGAAAGAGAAAACTACATTAATAAAAGGTAATGTCAAACATTGCTATTTAAGGAATAAGACCACTACCGAGGGGACCTATAAAACTAGTAGGGAGGAAAGATGGATCGTAATAGCTGGGGTTGAAGGAAAAAGTGATATGGGAAAGGATATGTCTCTGTAGGGTCTTTCTGAAACACTTAAAACTGTACAACCTCATGTGTTATAATGCTCTTATTATCTCTGTGCTTTATGTAGATGGCAGGGAACTTGCCTGAGATAGAAGAAGGTACAACTGGAAACACCTAGTTTACACCTGATCCTTTTACCATTTCTGGAAAATGAATATATGTATCAGAGTAGAATTTTATTTGGAAAATCACCAAGTAAACTGGTACAACTTGTAACCCTCTCCCCTCTGCAGATTACACACCTCATAAATTCATTCTATATTTTGTAATATGCAGTAAAATTATTTATTTGTGGCCTAAAAAATTTCTTAAAGTATAAATGTTCATCACAGCTGTGTCTACCATTTATTGAGGGGGAGAGCCTGCACTTTGTGCTCTGGCTAAGCAAGAAAGGAGAGTTCAGTTAAGCAAGAAGTGCAGAACTATTCCCGTAGGCTCTGCTTCTTCAATACCTTTTATCATGAACTCACAATCCAAAGAAAAAGCCAGGATTCACCACAGATTTGGTAGGGATTTCACTCCCTCGTTCCCCAATGGTATAAATAGCTGCATAAGGTAGAGCGAGAGTGGAAATCATGTGCACATACCCTTCGCACAGCAAACGCTGAAATTGTTTTCAGGATCTAGCAACACATTTCTTGACACTGAGCCGTGCCAAGCTCTCTGCTCCACTCACCACTTTTGCTTAGTTTGTCTTTAGAAGCACTTCACAATTACAGACACTGTGTTTTCCAAATGGGCTCCCAGCCATATCTGAAGTTGGCTGGAGGTACCTTTTTTCCCCCGTTTCACAAAAAAAAGAAAAAAAATACACCTGGCCAGGAATGCTGTTAATGTTTCTCCCAATAAATCTTTCCACATCCTCTGTTGGTTACTGGATTCAGCACACATTCCTTTGCAGTAATAAATTATTTAAGTTTTTGAACATAAAAGAAAGCAAGAGAAAGAAATCTAGTTTTCACAGGAGAGACTGAAAGTGACACCATAATATTCCTTTAGACTTAAAAAGCCTTTTCCTAAAACTAAGGTTTTTATGCTGATTCGCTTGCTCTGAAATAAAGACAAAAAACTATGGATAGTATTTGTAATCCATATAACATGCACAACAGTGTGTACAGAAACTTCGTGGAAAGCAAAGGTGGTCTAAAAACCAAACCAAAATTGACTGGCAAATTGCAATTTGTCCAAAAGAGAAACACAGAAAGTAAACAGTACAAATAAAAATGCATTTACAAACTTGTGGAATCCAGTTATTACTACTGTTTAGGAAATCAAATGCTTTTTGTCTTTTTTAATCTATCTATATTAATTGGTCTCTGTAAGTCTGTCTTTGGCAATACCCAGAAGTGAATTCTATAACGGAATACACATTATCTGTCTTAAGATTAAAAAAAAAGAAACAGAAAAACTGTTCTTAACTCTACATAGTTACATTATAATTATAGATTACACTATTTAGTGAAGCTTGCAACCTCTTTTGTGCATTTATTTTTATCTAATTTTTAGATTCACAGTGTTGTTCCTTCTTGGTAACACCGATCTCCGGGTCAGGATCCAGCACCGGAGCCTCCCAGCCAGGCTCCCAGTGACGGAGGCACCAGTGACACAAAGGTGAAGTAGCTGCTGAATTTAACTTGCTTTATTCCCACAGCCGCACTGTTACTGGAAAGAGGTAGTAAATAACATGAAGAGCAGGACTCTTCCAGGAATTTCTAAATCACTATGTACCCGGTATCTTTCTGAGAATCTAAATCTATTCTTAAGTTAGGAATCATTACGGTAGTAATGACCTGACTGTCATAGCCTATGAATAATTATTTAAATTTTATTGATCAATTTTAGTCCTTATCATCACCAAGAAGAGCGCAGGAATAGGAATTTTAGCAAAAGAGAGAACACCTTGTTCAAAGTGTAGGCATGACATTGACTTACACAATGATTTAGTTATATCTTAAGGATTCTTTCTCCTCTTCTGATTCCTGGCAAAATTTTGTTTCATTTTTAGGATATTACTGTGCATTAAGGAGACATTTTCTGTCCATCACAGAAAACTTTAGTTTTTTTCCTAAGTGGTTATAGGTAGAAACTGGAAGTGCTTATGCAGAACATACATAAACAAGAATTTAAAAGACAGAATCAAAGAACAACCCAGAAAAGAAAAAGAACCATCTCAGGGATCTTCCTTAAACAAATAAGTGAATACTTCAAGTCCCCCGGCTATACCCTGAAAACACCCATGTTTCAGACACTGCAATGTTATTTCTGGCAGCAGTGCTGATTACAGCTGATAGTGCCTACAGGGAGGCTTCAATAAAGATGCCAGGACAAATTACCACACCTAACCCCATTGCACATACAGGCCTCCAATCCTCTTTTATATTCAATGGTGTAGTATTAAATCTTTCAAAAACCTCATTATTATTTGCAGGAAGTCAAATAACGAAGCAGAACCAGGTCTTCACTTGTCTAATTGCCTGGCATGTTTGGATATATTGTAACCATGATAAAAAACAGGATGTAAGAACAGAATGATCAATACGAATCGTGGTGTAGCCCACAAGAGCGCTCGCATGTTATTGCCCACCCACTGCTCAGTTCTGCAGTTCCAAGAAGGGAACACACTTCAGCGTGCTAGTCAGTGAGTGCATATCCGTGCACGCACTGGATGGATCAAACGCGAATAGTTCTTCTACTCATCAACAAAATCCTTAAAAAAGACTGTGACCTTTAAATGAGACTCAGAGACTCAGTAACAAATTTAATAGATGAATGACTGAGGTTCCACATGATCAACTGATGCGCTATGACCCACCCCAAACCATTGTGATATTCACTGTCTATTCATTTCATGCAGTGACTTAAATGAGCGTCTTTTAAAAAAAGAAAAACCCCAAACCCTTAACATTTCTTGGCCATTAATAAATAGAATTTTTTTTATTGTTTGAACAGATGATTAACTACATTTATAAGCTAAAAACAAAACTTTTACCACATTATATTTATGTACTTTGGAAAAGAAAGTACTCAGAAACACTGCCAACCTTATAAACCATAAATCCGCATAACAGCACTTTGATTCCAAAATAAAATATCCACTTTGTCTGTTATTAAATAGTAAAAATATTCCAACATAACCATATTGTATGATGGTTGTAACTCATACTCAGAATTTATTTGATGCAGAGGAACTGACTGTAGGGGTTTTCTGGTCTAAAGAATAAAAGTGGGAATGAATATGGGGCAGAGTTAGAGTTGTGTTTGGAAATGCAATGTGATATTTTACAAATGTGCATTTATTTAAGAAACTGTGAGGATATCTGAATATTTATTGACATTCCCCTAACTATTCATTTCCTCGCTTCAATCTGTTAAGGATTTCCACCCCCCTCAAGCTGGGACTTCATATAGAGCATTTCAACTTACATATACATTAGTTCAATATAAGCATAGCACGAAAACCACACACTACACTTACCGCGCACACAAAAAACAGCCTATGCAGGTATTAACTCTGGCTTATTCTACACATCGCTAAGAGAATAAAGCAGCTGGGTCCCATTATTGAGCTCTGTTCAACTGCGGCATTATTTAACTTTCTATTTAACACAAATTATTAAAAGGAATGAATAGGACTGTAACGCGAGCAGGGGCTGTATGGGCAACGGGAAGCCTGACAACATGACTGAGAGGCCGTGCTGCGCTCGGGGAGCGTCCGAGGGAGCGCGGGGAGCTCCGGGCGCAGGGCACCGCGCGGGCTCCTGCCAGCGAGCGTGTTCCCACACAATGGCTGGGCACGGAGCAGGGGACAGCGCGGGCCAGGCGCTGCTCCCAGGAGGCAGCCTCAATGGGGCCACCCTCTTCTGGGAGGAGGAATTTAGCCATATGGACATGGGACGTGCTGTGCTGCTTCGCCTCAGGACACGGGAACCATCCCCGGCCTGTTTTACTTACCATTATAGATGTAGCTTAAGTATCGCTGCAAAGTGACAGTTCTGCCTCTCCTTCTATCCAAACGCAGCAAGCATACATAAAATACAATAAAATGCTACCCCAAGACTGGGGCATAAATACCATGGAGCTACCACACAAACACAGCCATTTAAAAAAAAAAAAAAAAAAAAAAAAAACTTTTCCTTGAAAATTTTTCCCCCGAAAAAA